CATCTCCTTTGCAGTTTGTTTTATAAAGCCTTATGGGGTGTCTAAAGACGCCATCTGGAAGTTCCACTGTCTTTCTGGCAAGGGGGGCAGAGGGTGCCCACGGTAGCGCTGGCACTGCATGGACACCACCTCCAACAGGGCTGACCCTCCTGGATTCCTGCTGCTCCGTGAGCAGTGCCAGCAGCCTGGGATCTTCTCTGGGGAGACCTGACTGCATCTCACTGCCTCAGAGTCAGTTTTTGCCTTGTGATTTCTCTGGTCCCTCATGACATGGAAGCTCATGCTGCAGTCTTTCCCTCCTCAATTTGCTCCTTCTTCTGCACTATTTTTTTGAAGCTCGTAGAAGCTTCCCATACTTCTGTCCCTTTCTTAGATTCGATTTAGATTGGGCAGCTCTAGAAACTAATAGAAGAGGACAGACAGCCATGCACACAAACACTGTGATCACAGAAACCTCATATCCCCAAGATACTTTGCTTATAAAGAGGAGGGGCAGACTGCAAGTGTGAGGGGCTGTAGGTTGGGTATAGAAGCCTTCAATTGTACTGTACCCAGTTTTGATTTCTGGGAGGGGGCTGTTCAGAAACACTGTTGATTTGTTTACTGATTTATTTATTAAATGTTCTTTTTGCATCCCGGTGGAGCTGGCCAAAAGTGGCGCCAGCGCGACACGTGTGCTCATGTGCCCTCTGTCTGAGCAGAGCTGCTGGCGTTGTGGGGCTGCCGTCAGTGAAAAGAGCAGCTGTGATTCAGTGTTTTTTAACTGGGATTCGCTGTTGCAGAGAGGGTGGGTGGGTGTGAGGTGGCCGGGCTTGGAGCGCTATCAAAGTGGTTGCCTGCACCCACGTTCCTGGCCAGGTCCATGAGAAATATTTGATCCTGTTTAGAGCGAATGTGTCATTTGTTTCCTACAGCTACAGACTTGGGAAGGGCTAAATTTCCGTAAATGTGTGGCCTTTGATGTGGAGTTTTCTGTTGACGCTGAAGCTGAGCTGTCAGGCCTCCACGTGAGGCCCTGTGTCGGCTCTCTGCTGGTGCAGGGCATGCCTCCACACCCCTCTGCGTGGTGACGTGCTGCAGCTTCACCCGCATTACTTTTTGCCTCCTTGGGCCGTATCTGTGAGACAGAAGTGCTCCGGAGTCGCTTTGGAGTCCCACCTTTCTGCTTTCTGTTCTTCTCCCTGGGATGTGAGCGGAGAGGCCCAGCACCCAGCAGGTTGTCCCCCTGCCCATCTCGGCTGTGCCCTCCTCCTTCCAGCATGGAGGTCGGTGAGCAGCTGCTGTGAAGGAGGACAGCACGCAGTCATCGCCTGCTTTGGAGCTGCACAGACCCCATTTCCATAGTTTTGATGTTTTTCTAAGTGCTGCCCTGATGTTGTACTGAAAGGTGGCACTTTTGGGAGGAAGGGCAGTGCCACGCGGCTGGAAAAGCAACAGAAGTGCGCACAGAGCCATACCTGTGTCTGCAGATCCTCAACTTGCTGTTTGTTGCACTATGAATCCAAAGTGCCCCATATGCTTAAATTCAGTGACTGTCCCCTTTTTGGGGAAGTTCTTCTTGTCCATTCTTTTCTCTGTGCCAACTTTTACATGATTTGTAACAGAAAGGAAACCCAAGGGATATGTTTTTGTATTATGCCAAATGACTTTCTTTGAAGGAAAATGGGCATCCCCCTAAAATCTCTCTCTTAACTTTCATTTGGAGAAGCGAGAGAAGAAATTGTTTATGTATACATTAAAAAAAAAAAGTGAACTGTATAAAGCTTTAACAAAACTGTGTAAGCACAGAGCTCTTGCTCTGTAAGTTCATCCCCTGCCGTGGCTCCAGCAGCACCAGGAGGAGCCGGGTTCCAGTAGGAACCTGCATTTGCAGCATCACAGCCCAGTGAGAAATGCTGTGCCAAGTGCTCCTACCAGACAAGTGACAAAGGATGAACATTTTAGACTTCTGTGGAGCAAGGTGACAGGGCCAGGGCTGTGGATTGGTGCAATAAGGGGTGTCTGCTGGGCTCTGAGACACGTGTGCTCCAAAATACGGCTCACGGCCGCTCTGGGCCTTTCTTTCCTCCCCCAGCAACTTTGGAGCCCCCAAACCTCGCTGGGATATCAAAAGCAGGAGAGGTGAGGAGGGCACGCACACAGGGGCTGCATTACAGCACTCCCTGCATTGCTGTGCCTGTCCAAAGGAGAAAAATAACTCCCTTGTCTTGTTTTTAAGCAAGAGCTGACATCTGCTGCTGCTGCACTTGCTGCTCTGAGAGCATCCAGCCTTGCTGCTCTGTGCCCCTCAGCATGCAGCCCTGACCAGGAGCTGGGAGCTGCAGGCTCACAAATGATTTTCTCTGTTTTTCTTGCTTTTGTGAGAAACTTCACAACGTCCTCTTTAAATAACCGGGACTCTCTCTTACCTTCTTAACCCCTTGTTTTGCAAAGTGCAGGAACAGACCCGAGCAGTTTGAACACGGCTCTGGCAATGTCCCTGTCTGGGCTCTGGCCCCAACGTTTCCACCGGCTCTCCAGTGTCGCAGCTTCCTCTAGTGGTCAGAGCTGCAGCAGCTGCAGGAGGAGAAACCAGCGGGAGGTTGAGGTGCGGGTTGGTTCTGTCTCGTTCCTTCCGTCCTGGGAGGTGCGTGGTGGGCGGCACAGAGCCCTCCTCAGAACCCTGCGGGCTCCTTCCTTCTCACTCGTTTCTTTCGGTTAAAAATCACCTGTATGAATTATGTTGTACCTGTGCAGCACTTTGCAGTGGTGGGTCTGGCAGATCTTGCTTTGAGCCTTATATGCAAGTTTGCTGGGCTTTCTCAATGAGTGCACACTGATAGGTGTGTGAGTGCCTGCTGGATGGGAAACTTCACCCAGGGCAGCTGATGAGCATCCCGTGGTCCAGCCGTGCTGCAAGGACGGCCTCCCCAGGGCAGCATGCCTAGAATCTGTGCTTGCGTCCATAAACACTTCTGTGGTTTAGAGATTGAGGGATTCACCCAGGGCTGAGTGGTTCCCGTTTGAGTTTTGCGTGAACCGAGCAGATTTCTCCCCTGATATTTCTTCCCTGGGGACTGCGTACCCCAGATCTTCTGCCCATCCCTCTCCCCAGACTCAGTCAGTAGGAACAGCTTCTCATGGCTCTCAGCTGTCTTTTATCATGGGAGGGTTTATATATATATATATTTTTTAATTCTAACCTGTTTAACGTGCCTGCTTTTCCCCCTAGGGAAGGCGCTTGGTTATTTGTGAGCTGTTTTTGCCTTACAGAGAGAGTGTGGCAAAGGAGAGGCTGAGGATTAAAAGACCAATATTTTTGCAAAGAGCTTTGAATGTCCCAGATGTTACCGAAGCACTATGTGTTGTTTTTCTTACCCAAGCCATGCTGGTTGCTGTGAGGAAGCCCAAACCCAGCTTCAGCTCCTGCTGTCCGTGTTTCTGGTTGCATCCCTCCGAACCCCAGAGCCCCATCCCAGCAGTGTTCCCAGCTCTGGTTCTGCTCCGTGCCTATGGGCGCTGGGTGTCCTTTCTCTGTGCCTCAGTGTCACTGTGGCAAAATGGGGGAAGCGGCACCAAAGCGTTGGTGCGATGCTCTTGAGATACGAGTGGGAGCTCTCTGTCAGGGCTCAGCACCACTTCTGTATGTTCTCAGCTGTTTGCTCTCAAAGTCGTTCTTCTGTCCCTCCGTGTTGTGCTGCTTAGCCCTTCTCGGGTTGTATCTCGACTGTGAAGCGTCATTAACGAGCGGTTGTTAATGAATGCATTGCCTCATATAGAATCGTAAAATGGCTTGGGCTGGAAGGGACCCCGTGGGTCATCAGGTTCCAACCCTGAGGCCCAAACTCAGCTTGGGGGGCTGAAGCTTGACTTCCCCCGCAGCCCGGCTCCTCCTGAAGCGCCGTGCTCAGGCAGCAGAACAGGTTTAGGTTCCCGTTCCCAAACAGGACCAGAGGTGAATACGTTAGGGGAAGTCTGGAGAGCTTTGAAGTTGGCAGCCACAGGCCGAGGCGTAGAGAAAAGCAAATTCTCAAGAAGGAACTCATTTGTTTTTCTTCCATCGCTGGATGTGATGATGAAGTCGGGAGGCCCAGGTGCATCTGCGTTCTCTCGAGCTCTCCTCTGCGCTTCCCCTCTCTGCGACTCGTCCTGCTGCCTCTGAGCATTTCTGACACGGCAGAAAAGCCGCGGTGCTTCGGGACGGGGCTGCTGTGCCCAGGGGGCCGCCCTCCCTGCATCGCGCTTCTGCAGGCTGCCTCGTGGTGTCAGTCAGCCTCTGTGTTTCACCCAGGTGTAACCTCGCAGGTGAAGAACAACAGCGCTGTGTGACTGAGGAGCTCGTGTCTTGTTAACGCGCACTACGAGTGTATACTGAATAAATGGAATATGGTGACCATACAGGGCTTGTGTCTTCCTTTGTGTGTTGCGGGGAGGAGAAGTGACGCAGTTCCAAGTAGGCTTTGCTTTTTATCTAAAATTAAAGGCTCAGGGGAGGGGCGTGGGATGGTGTGAAGCTGGACTTCCCTGTGGGCCTCGTGCGCCACTGGAGCAGTGCTTGCTGCCTTCCCCCAAGCAGTGTCCTTGTGCTGGGCACATTGCATCAGGCTGCTTTGACCTTGAGGAACTTCAGCTTTCTCCTGAATTTGGGCGGTTTGGACATCTTACCAGCTGTGCATAACTCCTAAGTAACCTCTGCTACTGCTGCCAAACCTGCTGTTCTGAGTTGTACCCTTGCTCCTTTCTCTTACTGCAAACAAACAAGGACCCACAAGCATTAGGTATTAGAAACTCTAATTTGAAGATGCTCTGAGTTGCTGTTTTTTAAATCCAGATGACCTTGAGCCTTCAGGAAAGAAGAAAGAGACAAAGTGGCAATTATTGAACATGGTCACGGTTGAAAGGGGGGAATTACCTCTGAGCTGTCCCTGGAGATGGCGCCACCAGCAGCCAGCCTCTTTTCTAGAGCACAGTTGGGTTTTTTTGCAGGTGGCAGTAAATTGTGCACCTCCACCATGAGCAGACACTGGGTCCGTTGTCTCGTCCTTACAGACTCTGAAGGTGAGATATAGGCTCCATAAAAAGCCAATCCAGTCCATATGGAAATGTTGTCCCTTGGTGTCCCCGGTCAATCCCATTGTTTCTGTTCCTCTTGTTTTGGCCAAGGGGTGAAGCCAGACCTCGATGATAAGATTACATTTGAGCTGAAAGATATTTTGTACTTCTGATAGTAAGGCAGAACACGCAATGTTTGCCATGGAGTGTGTTCCTAAATTGTGCAGCTGAGGAGGAGAGAACCAATGGTGCCAACAGCTCTGCGTGGCTGTGTTCCTTCTCCTTGAGCCCCTGCACCTCTGAAGGAGGGAGAGGTAAACGTGGCAGCTGAGTTTCTGAACCACTGGCCCTTCTATGAGATCTCTTAGGGTACAAACCCTGTTGGCCCATCCCATGGATTCTGCCATCGCTCTGTATGGAGTGGATCTGCCTGCTTTTCCAGCTGCTATGATCTCACTGTGCACAGGGGCAGTTTAATGCTTTGCCTTTTGAAAGTGCCTCCTGACAGCCCTTCCCAGCAGCAGTGCATCTCAGAGCAGCCAATGGAGCCATCTGCACCTCCCAAAGGAAGCGTGCCTTGGCTTGCAGTGTCTTTCCAACCCAAGCCCTTGTGTTTCCTTCCCCCAGGGTCATTCTGGGACTTTCAAAAATGCAAGAGGTAAGAACTGGAATGGAAACGGGAGATAACAGAGCTCTTGATAACCCGTGTTATTCTTTCCATCGTATTCCTGGGAAACACAATGAAATCTTTTCCCCTTCTTTCAAGGGAGTCTTTGATAACCCTATCAAGTCAAAAAGAAGTTGGGCAGCAGCGAACTCGACTCTTAGGACTTTTGCTTAATTTTACAGGGTCGCTCTTATCGGCTGTTTCTTTTTCTTTCAAGGAATAGCTTGCAAACAGATGGGTGTTTGCTGCTGATATTTGACGTTAGAGTTTCCAAGATATTCCTTAGCACCGCGGGGGAATTTTTGGGCTGCAGTGATAACCCTTGGCCGCGTGCATGGCACTGGTGGAGGCAGTAGGGGCCATGGTGGGGTATATAAGGGTGCAGGTAGACTTCTGGAGGTCTACTGGAACAGCTTGCGAGAGCAGCTCACCATGAAGTGGCTGATCCTCACCGTGCTGTGCCTGCACCTCTGCGAGGGGCTGCTGCGGTGAGCGGGGAGGGTTTGGCTGCCGCTGGGATAGTGGCAAGTCGGGAGGGCGGCAATGTGAAACGTGCACTGGGAGCACTGGGTTTTAACTGGGGCCTGCATGCAGGTGAGCATCAAGCAGGGCAGGGAGGGAGGGAGAAAAGACCAACAGAGAGCAAAAACGAGGGATTGTGATGGAAACTTGCTTCCTGTCACACTGAGCTGATGGCTGCTGCTCGTTGCCTGCAGGGTTCCCCTGAAGAAGGGCAAGTCCATCAGGGAGGCGATGAAGGAGAGCGGCGTGCTCCAGGACTACCTGGCCAATCACCGCTACTATGACCCTGCCTACAAGTTCTTCAGCAACTTTGCCACTGCCTATGAGCCCCTGGCGAACAGCATGGATGTGAGTATCCATCCCTTGGGAACAACGGGGGGAAAAGGAGACGTGAATAGAGAAGTCTGGGAAGTTCAGTGTAAGACCTTGAACCAGTGGTTCATTTCAGGAGCTGTTCTTGTGGTTGTGCAGGAAAAGAGGGGTATTTGTGTGAGTGCTGATGGAGCTGCTCAGCTGTGTACTCTGTTTTGGAAATATGCTGACAGTGGCACTGCAGGAAGGGTCCGCGTGCCTCTGTGCTGCTTGTAAACACAGCTGCTGTGCCGTGCCTGCACTGGTGGGAGAAGCAGCAGAGAGCAATGCTGTGTTCAGGGCACAGTGCACAGCGCTGTTGGGAAGGACAGCAGGAATCTGGCAAACCCTGCAGCCCCAGGAAACCTGCGGTCCTGTGGATGCATGGGCTGAGATTTAGCATGCACGCCTGAGGAGTTGCATGGGGTAAAAATTATTCCCTTTCCTCCAGATGTCCTATTATGGGGAGATCAGCATCGGGACCCCCCCGCAGAACTTCCTGGTGCTCTTCGACACCGGCTCCTCCAACCTGTGGGTGCCCTCCACGCTCTGCCAGAGCCAGGCCTGCGGTGAGCACCTGAGCAGGAAGGGGGGTCCTGGGCAGCAGGGGGACTTCTGGCTGCCACTGTTGTATTTACCACAAGCAATGATTACCACCTGTTTTATCAAAAGCAGCCCACATGTGTGCTTTGATTGCAGGTCCCTGTTGCTTGCCCTGAACCTCTCTTGCCACTCAGCCTCTGGTTGAGTGCTCCTCGATGGAACAATCACTCTTCTGCTTTGTTTTTCCAATCTAGCCAACCACAACGAGTTCAACCCCAATGAGTCCTCCACATTTTCAACTCAGAATGAGTTCTTCTCCCTGCAGTATGGATCCGGCAGCCTCACCGGCATCTTTGGCTTTGACACAGTGACAGTGAGTGACATTGCAGATGGGGGGAGTGAGGGGTGCCCCAGCTGTGCCCTGCAGCCTTGAGCCAAGGATACGCAGTTAGAAAAACATGGGCTGATCACTTCTGGAGGCTGGGGGTGTTCCCTTAGGAGCAAATCAGGGGAACTTTGTTCTTGGCTCTAACTTAGTCCCCTGTTCTGATGTACACTTACAGCTGCAGGATGGAGCCCCGTGTTGGCTTGGTGCCCCACTGCATGGCCTACTGTGCCTGTGGGTCACAGTGCTCCATGCTGTGCTCTCAGAGCAGCTCTGCCTCTTTTCCTCATCCCTAGATCCAGGGCATCTCCATCACAAACCAGGAGTTCGGCCTGAGCGAGACGGAGCCTGGCACCAACTTTCTGTACTCTCCCTTCGATGGCATCCTGGGGTTGGCCTTCCCTGCCATCTCTGCTGGTGGAGCCACCACTGTGATGCAGAAAATGCTGCAGGAAAACCTGCTGGACTCCCCCATCTTCAGCTTCTACCTGAGCGGGTAGGGATGCTCCTGTTCTTCCTTCCACCTTGTGCTGCCTTTGTGCTTCCCAAGGATATTCTGTTATTTTTCTTGTTTAAACCTTCGTAAGGGCCCGTCAGCTGATGCTTCCTTCCTCCTTTCCTGTTTGCCCCACCCCTTCTACTTACTGGCATGCTGGCTGGTACTGGTAGCTGTTGATCTCTACTGATACCCATGAGTGTGACCTTCAGTATCTAAAGGGGCTGTAAGAAGGAGAGGTCAGACTCTATAGCAGGGTCTGTGTGATAGGACGAGGGGAAATGGTTTCAAACTGAAAGAGGGGAGGTTTAGGTTGGATATAAGAGCAAAGTCTTCTGCAGTCAGGGCGGTGAGGCGCTGCACGGGCTGCCCATGGTGATGTCCCATCCCCAGAGACCCCCAAGAGCAGGGATGGGGCTGTGAGCACTGATGGAGCTGTGGGTGTCCCTGTGCACTGCAGGCCGTGGGACCGAATGGCCTTTAGAGGTCCGTTCCAACTGCGACACTCCATGATTCTATGATTCTATCACTTGTGCCTTCCTCCCGCAGGCAGGAGGGCAGCCAAGGTGGTGAGCTCATCCTCGGCGGCGTCAACCCCAACCTGTACACGGGGCAGATCTTCTGGACTCCTGTCGTCCAGACCACCTACTGGCAGATCGGGATCGAAGAGTAAAGTGTTGCTTTCTCCAGCTTCCTCCACACCAGCTCTGGTTGTTCTTAGATCTGCGGCCACAGGAGGAATCTTTCTGTCACCTCTGGTGGCTTCAGGGATCCCAAATCTCAGGCTTTCTGGGCTCTGAGGGCTATTCTTGACAATGCTGATATATAACTGTAGAGAACATTCCTCATACCGTGTCCCTGTGTTCCTCCTGCAGCAGCAGGGAGTTTCACGAGCTGCCTGTTTTCTCTATCCGTAGCTTCACTGTTGGTGGGCAGAACGGTGGCTGGTGCAGCCAGGGCTGCCAGGGGATCGTCGATACGGGGACCTCCCTCCTCACCGTTCCCAACCAGGTCTTCAGTAATCTGATGCAGTACATTGGAGCTCAAGCTGATAGCAACGGCCAGGTAGGGAGAGTGGGCTGGGAAAATGAGGGGGAAGAGGCGGGAGATGCATCTATCGTGGGTGAGCAGTTGCTGTCAAGCACTTGGGTTGGAGGAGCACTGGAAATCCAGTTTCAGAGAATGACTGAGGTTGGAAAAATCCTCCAAGATGATCCAGTCCAGCTGCCTGCCTACCACCAGTGCCCCACTAAACCACATCCTTGAGGCTCTGCTCTAATCCCCACAGAGGAAATGATGGATCTAGTAAAGTGTGCATGTCTGGGTCCATGGATCACTGACAGAACTCACCAGGCACAAACCTGTGGTGGTTTCTCTTTCCCCAGTACGTGGCAAGCTGCAGCAACATCGAGTACATGCCCACCCTCACCTTCGTCATCAGCGGCAACAGCTTCCCCCTGCCTCCCTCTGCCTACATGCTCCAGGTACAGCATGAGAACCTGAGGGAGAGCAGCCGGGGGCACTTTGGGCTGGGGGACAGCTGGAGGGCGCCGGCTGGAGTTGTGCAGCCAGAGCTTTCCTACACAGTAATTCCTTCTTGACAGAGCAACAGCGGCTACTGCACTGTTGGGATTGAATCCACCTACCTGCCCTCCGAGACTGGGCAGCCCCTCTGGATTCTTGGAGATGTCTTCCTGAGGGTCTACTACTCCATCTATGACATGGGCAACAACCGCGTGGGCTTTGCCACTGCTGTGTAGGCAGCCTCAGTGCCGTGGCCACAGCTCTGTGCATTGGGGCATCTCCATCCCCGCAGAGCCCAGATCCCTTCTCTTGAAAAATCTTTGCATTGAAGATGGGTTTCTTTCCAGACTATACTGTGGAGAAATAAAAGCATTGAAAATAAGATTAAGCATATGTAGTCTGTTTTTTTATTTCACAGTCTGTATGTTCCTTTTTTTTTCTTTTTTTAGTACAAACGAAACCGAATGAAGCTGAAAATATTACCTCTTCATAATACCTACATAATAAAAGTGAGGGGGTAAGAGCAGAGGACACAGCCAGGCTTGCTGCAGGTAGTCCATTTATGGCAGGAGCAAACTCAACATCCAACCACACACAAGGGTGTTGTGCAGCTAAAATAATGCTTGGAAGCAGCCAAGTGCTAGGCAAACATCTCAGGCTCCAAATGCTCCATCATTCCTCATTCCACAGGTCTGATATCCCTGCCCTCTCTGGCTACACGTTTCCCAGCACAAGCCCATGGGATGTGGAAGGCGGGCTTTGCCCAGATCTCCGCTCGGTGTCTGGGAGGTGGAGGTCTGCGCCTTCGGGAGAGGTTCCAGCTGGCACAGTGCTTGTTTGAGCAGCCCTGTGCTCACGCTCCCTTTGTTCCGTGCTCCCATTTGCTGAGGTTATATCGCAGTATCTTGTGTCCAACAGGTCCAGGAGAGGGGGTGGCTGGTTGCCCTGGTACTGGGACCAGTCACCTCTCCGTGCTTTTTGCCACAGGTGGGAAAAGCCTAGAGCAGACCAAGAAATCAGAGGTGACTGCGATGTCTTTGGGAATGCAGAGGCTGGACTCCAGAGCCGTTTGCAGCCTGGTGCAGTGCTCTCCTGAGAGCTGCTCAGTCTGTTGGTGCAACAGGAGCAGCAGGACGTGCCCAGAGCCCAGCTCCAACACGTGCCCATGCCCAGCAGTGCAGGTGAGCTCTGCCCCTACAAGGATGCGCCATCTCTGATGGCAGAGAGTGGAATTCCCCATTTCCTGTTGGACTAAGACTTAGCAAACAGATGCTGTTTAACTTTTGGGGGGTCAAAAGGAAACAAAAGTAGCATGTTTGCATGTGCTGTAGAGGGCATCTTATTCCTTTGTCTTTTGGCAAGCCTGAGTCCCCTAGGGACCTGCAGATAACACGCGGTATGTTGACGTTTTGATAACTGTTCTTTGCTTTCAGCCAGAATTTGCCTTTTATCCAATCTTAATAAGTTGATCTTTCTATCAATCCTGCTAGCAAACAAGATAATTGCTTTATTATACTCAGTATCCAGCAAAGGACACACATTACCTGGCGCTCCCAAGGGAGCACAAGATGTACAAAGCTGCAGTGTGGGATGAGTGCAGTGACAGCGGTGCTGGGTAGGCAGCAGCTACTGGGGGCAGCAATGAGCCCCCATGGTGTGCAGGGTGCTGTGGGGTGGGCAGGGGGTTGGAACTCAGGGATCTTCCCTTCTGACCCCAGGCCTTCTATGAATGGCTGCTGGGCAGGCGCTGCGGGCACGTCTGCAGCAATGGCACCGAGCAAAGTATGGAAGGGTTTTTTAGTCTCAGCCTCAGCGCCCATTTCTCCTTCAGGCCTCAACGTCCTCACGGCGCTGGGTCTTCCTGCAAGCCAGTTTCCATCCTGCACCGTGAGCTGTGAGAGCCTTTGTTTTGGGAAAGGTTGAAGCGATTTGGAAGGATCCAGGTAGCCGTGCAGCGTGCTGGCAGTGCGATAACTCGTCTCCCCGCTGTGATAAGGGCGGCCCTTATCGAGTGGCCGCACTTTGATTTGGCTGTGGAAGGTGCGAGGTGCTCTGTTCCCATCCGGGTGCCCCACTAATGACAAAAACTTCTCAAGTTCCTCGTGGTCCAAAATACAAAGAAACCCTTCAAGCCAGGGTTACACTCGGCGGTAATGGAAAACAGAGGCACGCAGATAAGGCGGTCAGTGCGTGCCAGTATAAAGGCAGCCAGGCCAGGCGGCTCAGCCTGCTGCTGCGCTCTCCAGACGGGTGCACCATGGCCACCGGCCGCACCATGAAGTGCCTCGTGCTGGCCGTGCTGTGCCTGCAGCTCACAGAGGGGCTGGTGAGGTGGGTGTGCTGGAGCAGCACAGGGCTGGGGGGAGCTCGGGGAGCAGAGGCCGGCTGCGTTCATCACATGTGTGTGCTGCACCTGAGCGCTGCTCGGGGATGTGGTTCTCGGTGCACCTGGCCACGTGCATCTCCAGAACCCATCGTAGCCATGCCAGCGGCAGCCCGGGCTTTGCCCTCGGCCCAGAGATGCTGTGCAGATGGCTCGCAGCAAGGCAGGATGCAAGGAAACCCAAAGGAGAGGACATCTGAAAATTCCCAAATCACCTCATTTCCTGCTTTCTTTGGTTTGCTTTTTGTTTTTCTCCCCTCCACCCCCTCTGCGCAGGATCAAGTTGAAGAAAGGCAAGTCCATACGGGAGAAAATGAGGGAGGCAGGAGTGCTGGAGGAATACCTGAAGAAAATTAAGCACGATCCAGTTAAGAAATATAACTTCAGCAAGAACAACGTTGTGTACGAGCCGATGGCCTCCCACCTGGATGTGAGTTCTCTCACTGCTCCCCCTGCCCCCCTCCTGCTGTCAGAACGATCTGTTTGCCCTGGGCCTCCGAGAGTGGAACAGACTTTTTTTAAGCTCTTGGGTCAGAGTTTAGCAAAGCTTTCCCCCAGCTGCCTGAAAGGCTGTGGTTTTCTATATGGAACACAAGAAATGCCTAATAGCACTTCATCTGGGAGGAGGTCGCTCAGCCCCTTTCCCATCTTATCGCTGCAAGAGTGAGCGGATCCGCAGCACTGCCGCACGGCGCCGGGACGTGGCGCACGGTGGGGAGGCGGAGCTGAGCCCCGTCCCATGACGTAACCCACCTCTGTCCGCAGTCCTCCTACTTCGGGGAGATCAGCATCGGGACCCCCCCGCAGAACTTCCTGGTGCTCTTCGACACCGGCTCCTCCAACCTGTGGGTGCCCTCCACGCTCTGCAACAAGCCGGCATGCAGTGGGTGTCCCGCAGCCCCTCGCCATCTGACCCCGAGCGGCGGTGAGCCCCACAGCAACAGCACCCCCAGCAGCTCTGTTGCTTCGTCTCTCCCGCAGGAAACCACGCCAAGTTCAAACCCAGCGCATCCTCCACTTTCATCAACAACGGGCAGAAAGTTACGCTGTCCTACGGCAGTGGGACGCTGACAGTGGTGCTGGGCTACGACACACTGCGGGTGGGTGCGCCGCCGGGGGGACGGGCTGGGGGCAGCGATCTGCATATCTCTTATGCAGATAGCATGGCACAAACCAGGTCCTGAGATGGGCAGAAGCTATGCAAAGTGATTATAGCTCCCTTCAGTTACCCAGCTGGATTTTTTGCTTTGTTTGCATGACTGCCGATAGTTTTTCCAGGCATTCAGGGATGTTTTCACCTGCTACAACCTTGTAGGGTGCTCTTTGGCTTTGCACTCTGGTTTTGCAGTCTTTGGCTTTGCACTCTCTGTTTGCAATCTTTGGGTTTGCACCGTTCTATTGAGCGCTCTTCGATTTTACCTTCCTGGGCTTTGCACTCTTTGCGTAAGCGCACAGGCTGACGCAGCGCTCCCTCCCCCTCCAGATCCAGACCATCTCAGTCAGAAACCAGGAGTTTGGGCTAAGCCGGGATGAGCCCACCCAGCCGTTCTACTACGCCCAATTTGATGGGATCATGGGGATGGCTTACCCTGCGCTCGCGGTTGGAGGGACGCCCACCCCCCTGCAGGGCATGCTGCAGCAGCACCAGCTCAAGCAGCCCATCTTCAGCTTCTACTTCTCTCGGTAAAGCCCACCTGCATTTCTGTCCCTCTGGCTGTCCCCACGCAGGTTCCTTGCTGCTCTAACTGCGTTGTTCTTGCAGCAATCCCACCTACAACTATGGAGGAGAGCTCGTGCTGGGAGGAGTGGACTCTCAGCTGTTCACTGGGGACATCGTGTGGGCGCCGGTGACCGAGGAGCTTTACTGGCAGGTGGCGATCGATGAGTGAGTTGCATCCATCCCTGACGGAGCTGTGTGCAGCCTCAGGTTCTGGCCTCCAAGACCTGGACAAGGTGGGTTCTGTGCCTGGTGGGGGCTCAGAGTGACGTCCACCACCTTTCTGTACTCAGGTTTTCTATCGGACAGTCGGCGATGGGCTGGTGCAGCCAGGGCTGCCAGGCCATCGTGGACACAGGGACGTTCCTGCTCACTGTGCCCGCGCAGTACCTGAGCAGATTCCTGCAGGCTGTGGGCGCCCAGGAGACCAGCTATGGGGTAAGGAATGTGTTTGGGTCAGGGTGGGGTTTGTAATTGAGCCACGAGCCCCGTGTTTGGACAAATCCTGCAAAACCCAGATGGTGTCTGCAGGGCGCAGTGCTGTGTGTGAAGCGGGGGCACAGCTGGGCCTTGAGAAGTGTTGTGCCTCACAGCCAGTGCTGCTCCCTGTGCTGCTCCAGCCATAATCTCTCCATCACACTCTTTCCACAGTACGCAGTTGACTGCAATATGATCCAGAGCTTGCCTACCATCTCCTTCATCATCAATGGGGTGCAGCTCCCGCTGACCCCCTCTGCCTACGTCCTCAATGTACGTATTGTCCTCCCAGGTCCCAGGGGTCCAGCAGAGACCTGGAGCTCCTGGTGAACAGCGATGCTCCCCTCCCTGCACACCTGCGGGGTCCGGGTGCTTCCCCAGGCTCTGACTCCCCATTATTTCCCCATACAGAACGATGGCTACTGCACCGTTGGGATCGAAGTCACCTACCTGCCATCCCAGAACGGGCAGCCGCTCTGGATTCTGGGCGACGTCTTCCTCAAGGAGTATTACACCATCTTCGACATGGCGTACAACCGCATCGGCTTCGCCAAGTCGGTGTAGAAGAGTGGGGCAGCAAAATGCAGCCCCCTCCTGCTCTGAGCGAGCCTTGCTGTGGGTTTCCTATGGGCCTTTACATTCCTCTACGTGCTCTCTGTCTCTCCGAGGTTTCTGTGTAAGGCTGTGCTCTCAGTCTCCTGTTGCAAATAAACTGCAGAGCCTCAACGCTCTCTGACCTGAATTTGTTCGGTGGTGGCAGAGCACAGGCTGACGGCTTGCGTGCCTCAGCCCCTCCTGCTGCAAGGGGTCC